CCCTGAGCGGGCCCCCCCCCGCACGGTAGGTTCGCGTCGTGTCGGCCAGCGGCGACCCCGCCGCCAGTGTTCAACGTTGAGCGCCGGCGGAGGCCCAGAATCGGTCGATGTTGAATGATGGGACGATTAAGAAACGACTGATCATTCCAGATTAAACGGTCGCTGCGGTGTCAGGAACCAGCGCCTGAGTCGGGAAGGCACGACCCTGCCGTATGATTGCTGCACACCTTCATCACGAATCTGCGAGGCGCTGAGGCGAGAGCCCCGTTGTCAGGACGACTCGCACTGGCTCGGTGTCAGCGCTGGACGAGCGTCGGGCCTCAGGACCAGAAGCCGCGAGGGAGCTTCGGGCGAAGCGCCCGGCCCGCCCCGAGGGCCCTGGGTGGGTCCAGGAAGGCCCGGTCGACACGGCGCGATCCTGCCGTAGCGATGCCCCGCATGGAGGCCTCGCTCCCCTCGGGTCGCGCGCGCGCGGGGGGCGCGAAGAGGTGCATCGTGCCCAGCGCGCTGTTGTTGCGGCCTGGGCCTCGAGGTGGCGTCGCGAGGGCGCAGCGATGGTCGTGCTCTGCGCGCCGCGCGAAGTTTTGGTTGTTTTACGTTTTTCTTTGTCATTGGTATGTGTGTTTGTGGGTTATCCTTACTGTTTTTCTTTTGTCTCTCTCTCTCTCTATCTCTCTCTCTCTCTTGCCCCCTCCACTCTCTCACGAACAGGCCAGGCAAGTTTTTTGTGTGCAAGGGGGGCCTCTTCTCTGTGCGCCTCGCATTCTCAGGCTTGCCCAGGACGCGACGCGTGCACTTCTCGCCTCTTCCCCTCGTCGCCTGCACCCCCCGCTGCCTCCTCCCTCGCCTGTACGCTCTCGGCTTCTCCTGCCTGGCACGCCCTGCGTGGTGAGGTACGATCGAGATGGGTACGGAAAGAATGGGGACGAAGGCTGAACGCAAGTCTTGACGCTTCGCGCACCCCCACCAGTTGTTTCGCTGTTTTTTTCTTTGCTTCGGCGCGGCCCGCCTTAGCTTGCACGGCGTTCGACTCGTCTTCGCGCGCCCGCGTTCCAAAAAAGTATCCCCACCAGCCTATCCAGAAACAGAGCGACAGACGAGTTGCCTTGATCAGGGAAGTGTAGAAGCATGCAGTGCAACAACCGCCTTGAAAGTGTTTTCTCGGTGGTCTTGGAGCCATCTTGGATCTCTCTTGGGGTCCTCGCGGAGCCACTTGGGGCACTTGGGGCCCTCTTGAGGCTCTTGTGGGGCGTCTTGGGGCATTGTTGGGGCTCTTTAGGGCCTTCTGGGAGGCCTCTTGGGGCCTTCTGGGCCCCCAAGGCTAAAAAATGCGAGGGGTAATCAATTCAGCCACCCCCCATCGGAAGCTCAAACATGCCGTTTTGGGTTCCTTTTGGGTTCCTTTTGGGGCGCTCTTGGGGCCCTCTTGGGCCCCTCTTGGAGCTCTCTTTGGCCGTCTTGGGGTCATCGTGAGGCCTCAAGAGCCCATCGGGAACGAAGCGGCGAGAAGGTACACAACGTTGATTTTCGATTTGTTGTTGAAGGATTTTTGTCTCTTGGGGGCCTTGGAGGGCTCGGAGGGAACTTGACACCGTGTTTGGGTCGTCTTGAGGCCCCTTGGTGTGTCGGAGGTTATCCGCAACCATCTTGAGGTATCTTGAGCCATCTTGGAGGCCATCGTGCGCTCTCAGAGGCTCTTTTGAGGCCATCTTGGGCCATCTTGGACGCTCTAACTACCCCGTTCTCCCCCCTCTCAGGCCCCGGGGGGGGGTAGGGGGAGGGGTAAAGCTACCCACCCGCCCGCAAGCCGTCTAGCTCACTCCCACCTGCCCCCCCAACACATACGTATCACCCGAGCCTTAGCATGTTCAGCGGTCGTCTTTGGCTGGGCAGAAACTGGAAACCAAAGCCGACCCTAGGTGCGCGACGCTTGGGCGAGGTGCGCCACGCGTGCCAGGGGCGCCACGCGCGCCAGGCACCCCTTGGGCCCGAGCGTGCCAGGCACTCCTGGTGCGCCAGATGCGCCACGTGCTCCGAGTGCGCCAAGTGTGCCGCACACTCCAGCCGCGCCAGGTGTACCGCCTTCGGGGCACGTGCAGGGTGCGTCAAGTGCGCCTGCGCACGTGCCAGCACACATCGGGAAACATGCCGGCCCCCGCCATCCTTGTCGAACACCGATGCCTATCATTGTGTCAGCTGGGCCTGCGCACAGTAGGCCACGCGCCACCACCACCGCCGTATCTGTCAAAAACCACTTGGCAGTGATCGCGGGATGGCCGCGCATTGTTATATGGTGTTTTTGTCAGGGATGGTAGCACTGCGCACAGCAGGGAATGTACTGACCCCCCCGCCGTCCTTGTCAAAAGCGAAGTGTTCGCGGGCTTCACGAGCATGATTCCAGACTTTGTCCCAAGGTGTACTGTGCATTGTTTTTTGTCAGGGATGGTGGTGGGGGGGGCGCATCGGGTTGGCCGCGCATGCTCAAAGTGTGGAGGCAGAGTGCGGATTGAATTGTTATTTGACGGAGATGGTGGGTGGCGGGTCGGCATGGTGTCGGCATGGTGCTTGGTTGGCCCCCAGTCGCCTGGGGGAGGGGGTGTAGAGTAATGGGGAGAAGCGATAAACACCTCCCCCGAGCAGGGGAAGGAGGGACTCTTGGAAGATAGACAACGAACTTCGTCAAACCACCTTCGCCCAGAGGGCTGGTGATATGCTTTTTGAACAGGGCACGCTGACGGTGCCGCCGCGGGCGTTGTTCATATGAGACAGAAGGGTTGCCTGCCCAACAGCGGCCGCTGTCGGTTTGGGACAGCATCTTCTGCGGGGCATCGTGCCACTTTTTCCGATGTCGTCTCGGGCGTCGAAACCCCTCCCTGCTTCTTTGTGCCCGCCCTCGGCTCTGGAATTCGCCACCATCCAAGCACGGTGCCCCCCCTTGCGGCGCTTCGCGACCAGGGGCCTCACGACCGTTGAACAGCCTTGACCGTTGTCCTGCCAAACGTGCTCGGAGGAAAGAAAATCAGCACCACCGCCACCGTCAGGGTTGCCACCTCCAGCGAGGGACAACTGGGACCACCGCCGCCGTCAGGGTTGCTTTCAGCTCCATCACATTGATAACTGGGAGACGCTGCACAAACGGAAAGCATGGCGCATGGCTTCACGAGTCGCAAACCACGACTGGACGAGGTGGACATAGCGAGTGCTGCGCTGGCACCCAGTCCTCAACCCGCGCCAGCGGGGACACAGGCAGCACGGTGGCCAAAACAAGCGTTGGACGACGAAATCACCACGTACTTACGTCAACGCAGACCAGACCTCCACCGACCGCCCACGCAAGCCCATTCGAAAGGACAACCGAACGACATCACATGGACGCAAACAGCCCAAGACACCGAAGCATGGACAGCGCTCGAGCACCACTTCACCGACCTCACGTCGACCAGCACCCGGGACTCAGACCAATGACGTAAAATATCTGCGAACGTCGAGACGTCTCGCCCAACCCGCGCCGACACCGACACCAAGGACTTTCTTTTCCTCCTCCTCCCCCTCTCCTCCTAACTTTTTACACGTCTCGCATTGCATGAATCCAGACACCTCAGATCCTAGAGGCCATGGCCTCACCCGCCTGGTCTGCTCTAGGCCCGGACGCTGTCCGCAACGGTGGTCGCATCGCATCGCATCGCACCTCCAGCGAGGGGGTCCACGCTGCCTCGCCGAGCCGGGGGCGGGGGATGCCTCGAGCAGGGAGGGGGAGGGACAGCACCGCCCTTTCTAGGGCCCGCGCGCTGGCAACGGTGCGCCTGCCACCCGCACGGGCGTCGGGTTTCCGACTGGCGACGGCAGGCTTCGTTCGTTCGTGCTCCTCTCGTCCCTGCCAAGATGTCGGTACGATTCGCACGACACTGCTCTGCTCACGATGCGCGGTGCGATGTTGCACGAGTCCCCGCTCTAAGCAGTGGAGCGTGCGCCGCAGGTGAAGGGGCTGAGCGCCAAGCAGGCCTGCTGCCACTGCAATGGAGGCCCTGCTTGCGAAGAGCCTGTCTCGCAGTGCTGCCCAGGATAATGATGCCAGGTGCCGTGGAATAGCATTCATCGAACAACACAAAACTGCATAAACAACATTTCTCTGAGGTCCGCGCGGACATCCTAGAACATATGCTTATGCAGTGTCTTGTTCCTCGAATGCAGTGGGGACGCGCATCAGGAAACCATGTGCTTTGTCAGGTTGCCTTGGGCTTCTTTGCCGCGCGCGTTGCGTGGTGACTTCCTGCGTGCCATTGGCTTCCCCACTTGCACCTCGAACGCGGTTTTCAGTGTTGGGTTTCCTGCGAGTTTTTACCTAACAGCGAAGACTGGTAGGTTTCTAGTGGGGTAAAAAGAGCTCACAGATCACTCCACAGGGGGGTCCGGGCAGGCGTTGGGAGTTGCCGGGCGGCAGGGGGCCCCGCTCGTTTTTCACCAACAGTCACACACTTCGTGCTCTTCGAGTTCCCAGAACTCCATTCCCAGGCTCATTCTGAATAACCGGATGCAACAGTCACACACTTCGTGCTCTTCGAGATCCCAGAACGCCATTCCCGGGCCACCTTTAGAATAACCGGATGCAACAGTCACACACTTCGTGCTCTTCGAGTTCCCAGAACGCCATTCCCGGGCCACATTCTGGAGGGCCGGATGCAACAGTCACACACTTCGTGCTCTTCGAGTTCCCAGAACTCCATTCCCGGGCCACATTTTGGATGCCCGGAGCCAACTGTAGGCCACTTCGTGCTCTTCGAGTTCCCAGAACTCCATTCCCGGGCCACATTTTGAATGCCCGGAGCAACTGTACCACTTCGTGCTCTTCGATTTCCCAGAACTCCATTCCCGGGCCACATTTTGAATGCCCGGAGCCAACAGTAGGCCACTTCGTGCTCTTCGAGTGCCCAGAACTCCATTCCTGGGCCACATTTTGAATGCCCGGAGCCAACTGTAGGCCACTTCGTGCTCTTCGAGTTCCCAGAACTCCATTCCCGGGCCGCATTTTGATGCTGATGCAGAGGCTGAGAATGGTGATGCTGAGGCTGAGGCTGAGGCTGAGGCAGGCAGGCTGAGGCTGATGAGGCTGAGGCAGGCTGAGGCTGAGGCCGAGGCTGAAGGCAGGCTGAGGCAGACGCTGAGGCAGGCTGAGGCTGAGGCAGGCTGAGGCTGAGGCTGAGGCTGAGGCAGGCTGATGCTGAGGCAGGCTGAGGCTGAGGCTGAGGCTGAAGGCAGACTGAGGCTGAGGCAGGCTGAGGCAGACGCTGAGGCAGGCTGATGCTGAGGCAGGCTGAGGCTGAGGCTGAGGCTGAGGCGGATGCAGGCTGATGCTGAGGCAGGTTGAGGCACAGAGGCTGAGGCTGAAGGCAGACTGAGGCTGATGCTGAAGCAGGCTGAGGCTGAGGCTGAGGTCGGCTGAGGCTGAGGCTGAGGCAGGCTGATACTGAGGCAGGCTGAGGCTGTGACTGCGACTGCCGCTACTGCGAGTGTCATCGCGAATGCGACTGCGACTGCGAGAACAGCAGAACTCTACAACTGGATTCTCATTTGAATCTTAGGGGGAATGCTTCCATATATGCTTCTACACATCGCTGTTAGGTTGCTTTGCCGGGATAATTTTTTTCGGGGGCCGCGTCCTCACTGTAAGGGTGATAGGGGGAGACATGGTTCGCCCGCCCCCAGTGCCACAGGCAGGAAAAGGGGGGGGGTGCTATCTCCATGATGGCAGGATTCGGGGCTGTGACACAGACTGCCACATTCGCGCGCGTGAGACACGCACACACACACACAGGTGTTTTTACCTAACAGCGTAGACTGATAGGTTTCTAGTTGACTCAAAAGAGCTCACAGATCACTCCACAGGGGGGTCCGGGCAGGCGTTGGGAGTTGCCGGCCGGGCCTGTGCCGGGCTCGTTTTTCACCAACAGTCACACACTTCGTGCTCGTCGACCTCTCAGAACCCCATTCCCAGGCCACATTCTGAATAACCGGATGCAACAGTCACACACTTGGTGCTCCTTGACCTCCCAGAACGCCATTCCCGGGCCACATTTGAATGCCCGGAGCCAACTGTAGGCCACTTCGTGCTCTTCGATTTCCCAGAACTCCATTCCCGGGCCACATTTTGAATGCCCGGAGCCAACTGTAGGCCACTTCGTGCTCTTCGACTTCCCAGAACTCCATTCCCGGGCCACATTTTGGATGCCCGGAGCCAACTGTAGGCCACTTCGTGGTCTTCGAGTTCCCAGAACTCCATTCCCGGGCCACATTTTGGATGCCCGGAGCCAACTGTAGGCCACTTCGTGCTCTTCGACTTCCCAGAACTCCATTCCCGGGCCACATTTTGAATGCCCGGAGCCAACTGTAGGCCACTTCGTGTTCTTCGAGTTCCCAGAACTCCATTCCTGGGCCACATTTTGAATGCTGAGGCAGGCTGATGCTGCGGCCGAGGCAGGCTGAGGCTGGGCAGGCTGAGGCTGAGGCCGAGGCTGAAGGCAGACTGAGGCTGAGGCTGAAGCAGACTGAGGCTGAGGCTGAGGCCAGGCTGAGGCTGAGGCTGACAGGCTGATGCTGAGGCAGGCTGAGGCTGAGGCTGAGGCTGATGCAGGCTGAGGCTGAGGCAGCCTGAGGCTGAGGCCGAGGCTGAAGGCAGACTGAGGCTGAGGCTGAAGCAGGCTGAGGCTGAGCTGAGGCAGGCTGAGGCTGAGGCAGGCTGAGGCTGAGGCTGAGGCAGGCTGAGGCTGAGGCTGTGACTGCGACTGCCGTTGCCGCTGCGACTGTCATCGCGAATGCGACTACGACTGCGAGAACAGCAGAATTCTACAACTGGATTCTCATTTGAATCTTAAGGGGAATGCTTTCAGATATGCTTCTACACATCGCTGTTAGGTTGCTTTGCCGGGATAATTTTGCATGGGCGGGGTCAACGAGTTTATGCCCTTGATTGAGCCTTGTCAGTTCTGTGCAGGGGTACGTCCAGTGCTTCAAACCTGCATACATGGAGTCGGACATGAGCTAGATCATGACATGATAGCCAGCGTGGGCCCCGAAGAGTGTGTTTCTAGCAATCTAATGGCCTTCGGCGTTTCCCGCCACCGTGCCTGGGTTGCGTCAGAGTCCTCAGGGATGCTTCTTGGGGTCTCTTGGGAGCGCTCTCGGGGGCCTCTTGGGGGCAGTGTTTGGGCTTCTTGAGTCTCAGGGGGGCCCTTGGGGTCTTCTTGGGGGCCTCTTAGGGTTTGCTGGGGGCATCCTGGAGGCTCTTGGCGGCTTCTTGGGGACCTCTTGGGGTCTCCGGGGGGCCTCACGGGGCCGAGAGCTCGAAATGTCCATTCGGTTTCCCCGTCGTGCCCCCCTCTTGGAGCCGTTCGGGGGGCCTCTGGGCCTGTCTTGGGTGCCTCTTGTGCCGTTTTGGGGCCATCTTGGGCCCTCTTGAGGCCGTCTTGGGGGGGCCTCTTGGGCCGACTTGGGGCGATCTTTGGGGGCTTCTTGGGCCGTTCTAGAGCGTCGGGAAGCCGAAAAGGCGAGAAGGCCACACCTTCCCAATCATTTAAGCGTAGGTAGACTCCGCCGAAGGTCCCACTTCTAATAGTCGCATGAGGCGGAGGAGGAGGAGGAGATGGAGGAGAAGGAGGAGGAGAAGGAGGAGGAGGAGGAGGAGGAGGAGGAGGAGGAGGAGGAGGAGGCCGGCCTCTTTAGACCCTCCTGGGGCCTCCTGGGGGCTTCGTGGGAGCTCTTGGGGGCCTCTGAAGGGCCCTTTGGGGTCTCCTGGGGCGTCTTAGGTCTTTGGCTTCGAAGGCCGTCTTGGGGCCCCCTTGGGCTGTATTGGGGGCCCGAGCGTCGGAAGCCCAAAAAGACGAGAACGCTGAAATAATTGAAACACCTAAGGCGCATCACATGTCTTGGCCTCCTGGAGATCCTCTCGGAGCTCTCATAGGGACCTCTCGGGGACCTCTTGGGGGCCTCTTGGGGGCCTCTTGGCCTTCGGAGGGCGTCTTGGGCCCTCCCCAGGCAGTCATGACTTCCTCTTCGGGCGCTTTATGGCCGTCTTGGAGGTCTCTGGGGCCGTCTTGGGGCCGTCTTGGGGGCCTTTTGGGCTGTCTTGGGGCCCTCTTGGCCCGTCTTGCGGGCCTCTTGTGGGCCCGTCTTGGGGCGTCGGATGCCTGACAAGGCGAGAACGCTAAAATCACTGACAAACTTCGTGGGGAATCGATAATTTTGGCCTCCTTGACGTCGTCTTGGGGCCCTCTTGGGGCGTCTGCGAGCCCCGTGGGCTGTCTGGAGGACATCTTGGGTCGTCTTGGGGCCATCTTGGCCATCTCGGATGCTTCTTGGGACCATCTTGCGCCATCTGGGCAGTCTTGGGCGGATTTGTTTATGGACGTTGAGCTCTTTTCTATGGCTCTCTGGGTGGTCAGCGGGTTGGGCCGAAGGCCCACTGGAAACTTAAAAGAAACAGACGAACACTACCTAATGCTCAGCACGCCGTGCACCCCTGTGGAAAGCCACAGGGGGCGGCGGATGTATGTATGTATCCAGGCCATCGGCCCATCCCGCCACCATGCCTGCTGGGATCTCTTGGGAGGCCTTTCAGAAGCTTCCTGGAGGAGGTTTTGGGGGGTGTTGGGACCTCTCGGGGGCCTCTTGGGGTCTGACTTGGGCCTCTTGGGGGCTTTCCAGGCCCCCCCTGAAGTATTGGAGCATTCAACACAGAGAACTGGAAGGGACCTGAGGACGCTCTACTCGTTGCCTAGCGGTACGGTGGAGGAAACTGATGTTGCATCTGTAGCGAAGCATCACCGTTGGACATCAGTGTGGGCAGAAGCATACGAGTGTCGGCTTGCTTGAGAGCTACCCAGTTTTTGTGATGAAGTCTCAGCAGGGAGGATCAGACTTGAGATCTCGGCTCTGATGTCCCTGGTTCCAGGGTCTCTGGCTCGTATGGGCACGCCTCTACTATGCATAATACTACGCCTGGGACTCTATCGCCCTGAGCCTTTGCTTT